CCATATGAAACAATCCAAGTAGCCCCATTAAGTTCATATGAAATAATCAATGTAACACCCTAAGTTTATAAGAAATAATCCAAGTAGCCCCTTAAGTTCATATGAAACAATCCATGTAGCCCCTTAAGTTCATATGAAACAATCCATGTAGCCCCATAAAGTTCATATGCAACACTTATTTTGAACATGCATGTGACCACCACAAAATACACTAACCATGATCACTACACAGCTAGGGTAACTTAAGATAACTTACAGATTTACCAACCTGATGCTGAATCTGAGATTTATCCTGGTTTGCCCGGTTACCAAGAATTGGCCCACGATTCTTCTTACGAAGTTTCTGTTTCACAACACATATTCCAATGCCGAAGACAACGATAAGGATAACCGCAATGACCACAATGGCGATTATAACTACTTTGTTATCATTTGGTGGCGGTGGTGAGGTCGGGATCATTGGTAGCGTTGTTGGCAATGGCACTAAAAATTAAATGAAAAAAAAAACAGCTTCAAATACGAGTTCAGTGACTGATTCCATTTGTGTTGGCTACCTTCAGTTAATAAATGCTGAGAAAAGTTATAGTTCCATAAGTGTCATAACTGGTTCAGGGGTTAATTAAACTTAAGTTAACTCCATTATAAAGAGAGGCAAATAAATTCTTTTTCAGGTGTGTGCTTTTCAGCCAAGAAGGAAACTGAAATGATTTTCCTTTCTGAAACTATTCCTATCACAGCGCTGACACAACCTAGAAAGCTAATAAGAAAGCTACATGGAATCTATACTGGGAAAGGCACATAGAATCTACCAGGAAAGCTACATAGAATTTACAAGAATGCTAACTACATGTACCTAGAGAAAGATGACAAATATAGCATATTACTCACTGGGTAAGACTGTTAACCAAGCATTTTCGTGATCAATTCCGAGTGAGTTGCTAGCCCAACATACATACTTTCCACTATCTTCTACTGTCAAATTATTCAAATGAATCACATCTTGATTTCCGTTGACCTCAGTCTGTGAAAAAAAAAATCAAAATCAGATTTCCAAAAATAGGAACAGAAACACATTAAAAAAAATATATAACAAACGATGTGCATTTACCCCAGGGACAAATTGTACGCCATGCGACAGTTAAAAAAGTAAAAAAAAAAAGACAGAACAAGACTTGAACACGATTACTTTTACCGTGTATTACTTGTTATTTGTTATGTTGTTATGAACAGTATTGGTGTGCGCAACGTGTTGTATTGTCCGAGAACGTGTTGTATTGTCCGAGGACGTTTGAGGAACACATAAACATATGCGCAACATGTTGTATTGTCTGAAGACATTTGTGGCACACATAAACAAACAAATTTAATCTCTGAACATTCAGATTTTTTTTTTCAAGTTTTTTTTTTTCTTTACAAAATTGAAAATAAATAAAAGAAAAAAATTGAAATAAAAAATAAAAAGTTACTGCACATGCATTACATTTTCTGGAACTGTTTTTTGACGTCTAAATAGACTCACCATGTTAAAGAATACTGGCTAAAAGATGATGAAGATGATGACAGAAGAGAAACATTAAAGTAGATAGAAAGAGGAGGTTATCATGGGGGAAAATATGAATTAATGAGACTCTGACCTTTAACCTTTCCACGCAGTCCACCTGCTTTCACTCTCATTACCAATACAGTGTCACTTTTTTTTAAATTTTTTTTTTTTATAGTAGGAATATTAATTGAAAAAATTACTGTATTTACTCAAGAAGTGCATCTCTTAAAAAAAGGTGCATATATTCAAGAATTGCATTTATTGTTTGGTGGAGCAAATACAATATTTACTGTTGCTACTTTATATTCACAGGTTTATTTTTTCATAGAAAACCATTAATATTTAATATATTTTTTACACTGAATTGTCAAAAAATATATGCAAACCAGTGGGGAAAAAAGGCTATTATTTTTGCCACTTTATCACTTCAGTGAAAATAAATACAAGGTGAACATAAAGTATTCTACAGTAACTGAAAAATATTCAAATTCTGTTTAGCAGAAGCTAATGAAGCCTCCCTTCCCACATCAAAGTGTAATGATAGAAAAAAGGCTCCCTAGCTTAGAGTGAATTTTTACACTAATGCTGCACTCAAACAAATAATTCCATAATTTATTATAAATCGGAACAAAATTTGACATCAATTTATTGAAGTGACAAATTTCCGTCAAAAAATACAAAGGTCTGGTTACTGGTGAAAAGGTTAAAAGGAGGATGAGAAAAAAAACACTATCTTGGTCTCAGTGGGGAAATATCTGGATAGGTAGGTGTGGAGAAGAAATCAATTAGTATAGACGACATGCAGAAGGTCTGATATCTTATCACAGGCTATGTCAGCAGTCGGGTTCACTAACTCTTGCCAACTTGTACTATGAAAATTGATCTTTCCGCTCACACTGCACGGTTGTCAGTGAACCATATTTGATGTAATTTTTGCGGTATCACCTCTGACACCTAGATGTTCTTACAGTGACACCTAGATGAATTTACCAAATAGGATGAAGTCAAACTTTTGACAGGAATTTCCTGAAAATTTGCTAAAATGATTCCCTGTAAATGGTTCTTTGAAAAAAACGACTTGCATTACAACAAAACTTGTTTTTGATTTATGAACATTAAATTGGTGTCAGTAGAAATTAACAGTATCGAGAAATCACAAAATCGTTGTTTTTTGTGAAGTCTTTCCACTTTCCAAAAGTTACCCATATCTATCCTTGAAGTGAACAATTCCAAAACACAGCTCGCATGATAAACCACAGTTGATCTTTTTTTATATACACTTCTCTTCATGAACTACAATTGCATGTGTTATTCCAATTAATTCTCGGAGGGAACCAACCTTTCGCAATGAGAGAGACTAGCACTACTACTTCTGAGTTGAAGCCATGAGAGATGCACTCAAACCCCAACAGTAGAAGCAGACTTTACTGCTGCATTTTTTGCATGCATCCGATGTTTACATAATTAAAATTAAGTATTTATGCCTCAAGGCCTGAAACTTGTACTGAAACTAAAATAGGAGACATATCGAAGAAAGCTGGTCAGTATCAACCGTAGACCAACAGTGTAGAGGACTGACATCTCACCACTGTGCTAAGATCTGTGCTAAGATCATTAGAAGAAACTACAAAGACACATTCAGAAAATAATCAATCTAAGAATCAGTATTAGAGATAATACCCCAGGGCAGACAGAGAAAAAGGAAGAGAGTTGTTAAGATTTGGTTAATTTTTCATGTTTCACTCATTTTTTTTCGAACGCAATTAGATGCAACCTTTTTATGTATTTTTCCGGAATTTCCTTGTTATTTTGAACCAAATAGAAATATAGGTTTTGATCACATTTTTTGAAAAAGTATGGAACCATTTTTGTGGCTTTAGCTTCAGACATTGCAGCTCAAAGGGTCAACGAAACAAATTCAGTAAATAAAAGTCTTTATCCACTCCTGTACTCTGGGATACTGCTTAAAAATGGATTTTTTTAAATCTAATTATTAATTTGTAATAAAGAAAATCATTTTCACAAGTCTGAGAGATCTCTTAATGCAACAGTTAAACACATGTAGTTATATAGAAATGCAGCAAGGAAAACACAAGAACCCAGTAGCAAGCAACCATGACAATTTCTGTAAATTATTCAGATTTAAACACAGCAATCACTGAGAAGGAAATGAAAAAAAAAAGCATGATTATGAAATTCCCCAAGCTACCCATAACTCAAATAAGAGCAGTCTTAAATTTTATTACAGTGACAAAATCACAGGTTGTGTCTTGCGTAATTTCAACCTAATGGTAAAATAACAGCAATTTTTAACGATATAACATCCTCCAATGTAAAATAACAAGGATTGTAGTAATTATGTTCTCGTTCAGTTTTGTTTATTCTGATCAATTAGACTGCCTACATTAGTGGATATATTTTTTCTCAATTTTTAAAAATAAAATTTTGTTTATGGTGATCATAACCCTTCGCTGTTCACTCCTTTCGTTATCTCCTCATACAAGTAAACATGCGATCAGCCAATCAGGTGATTACCTGGGATGTGTCTCACCAAAGTTGACAATTAATTTTTTTTTTAAATAAAAAGTTTCTGATAATTTTTTTTTTCAAAAATCAATGCAGGTGTAGTTTTTTTCTTCTTTTTTTCAACAGTCATAAAAATTTTGCATTTATTTTTCATTATTTTTATTTTATTTTTTTTAATTTTTAGAAAATGTCTGGCAAAAACCTCAGATTCACATTTTTTAGAGCTCATGACCAGAAACATGAATATTTTCTTAATGGGTCTTTTCACCACAGGTCCATGTTTGGTACTATTAGTAAGCCAAGGCACATGGCAATGAGAACAAGATATAATGAGAAGGATGAGTATATTTAAATAGCACTATGACATTTGGCAGAATAAGATCTTTTTAGATTTCAAAAAGATAAAATCTTAATGTGTATTTCAAGCAATGTAACACAGGTACATGATAAGAAGCATTAATTTACAATTCAACTTGACCATGAACACAAAACTGATACATCATGTATCCTTCATGACGCATGATATTGAGACAAGAGACAAGATTGAAACAAATATCATGCCATTACTGAAATGTGCTTGGTTACCATAGAGACACATCAAGTACGATGATTTATGCCAAAAAACAGTAAATTGATACTGTGCACATTATGTTACAGGACAAAAAAAATAAAATAAAACAGCCTTTTATCTTCCCTCAGCCCTTAAATTGAGATATAAAACAGCTTCATGAATTCATCTGGGTTGCTCCCAGAATGTGCAAGCTGCATACAAATTGCAAAAAGAGATGACAGCGCCCTCTAGTGATGAAACATAGCACAATAAACCATTAACTTTTCTTTTTTTTATTAAAAGAGACATAATTTAACGTTGTTTCTTTAATTTAAAGTCTTGCATTGTTTACAAGATTCACCATTTGACAAATGTACAGAAGAATGCAAAAACTGTACATTGCTGACTTAATATTTAAACAATGAAAAACAACTGTCATCACTGCAAACGAAACACCACGTATAGTTATCCCCCCCCCCACCCACAAATACATGTTTATCAAAAGAACACCTGCTTGAAAACAGACTCCTGGAGGATTTAGCCTACTTAACGATGCATGGCCAACGATCAGTTAATACGTGACTCATCATTACAAATAAATTGATTCCTTATCCCCTTAATAGTCTACTTTACATTCAGGTTAGCTGCATTTCATGTTTGTATCCCATCAACGTCCACATCTAAATATGTATTTCATTCATTTATGCAAACAGGTTACTTAGTTGCGATTTAAATTTATAATTTTGCATCACTTCAAATTGTTGTTTTGTTTTTATTTCCGAAAAACACCATCTAATGAAAACTGCATTTTCCTTCTAAGTTTTACATTTAATTTACCAGATAAAAAAAATTTTATATAATAGTTGCTATTGACAACAAAATTAATTTCAGTTTATATCGACATTTGACTTGCCTATGGTACAATGATTACAAAATATAAAACAAACTGGCAAACCGTTTGGCACATACTCCTTTAAATTTGGCTCAATATAGTCATTCTTACAGCACACTATTTAAAATTATACTATGTCACAAATCAGACATGCTGCTGTTCAAAGCACATGGCTACACTGCTATGCTTGTAGCTATTATGCTATACAATGAGAAAACATACAGTGTATACCTGTCATGCAAAGAAACAAGATGGGGGAGACAACAGTGAGGTGAACGGCTCACTTTGTGCCCCGGTGCACAAACACTTGCACCAATTCAGAACACAACATGCTTAAAACCATCATCTCCATAGCAACAATCAGCCAACTATTCAAGTCTATAAGCAGTAATTTTGCAGTCTAAGATTGTATAAAAAGCACACTTTCAGGAACAAACTCTTCACCACAAACAAGTAAACTGTCAGTGTTCATGCGCTTTATATCTCACAAGATAACGATCCATTCAAATA